TAGTCACTGTCATATACTCCTTACCTCCCTTTGGCTTTACAAGACCCACTGCAAGAATAGTTTCACTAAGGCCATCAAAATAAGCCAGATCTCCCCTGTCAACAAACAAGAACAAAAAAAAAAAACCCTACATAAAACTTGTCATATAGTGTCACATAATAATAAAGTAAATAAAATCAGATTCTGTATATTTAAAAATTACTAATGCTTATTGTAACACTCTGAAGCCATCTATATATTTTGCTTTGGGTGAAAGCAGGTCCAGCAGAATGGAATGAAAGAGAAGTTTCAGAGCAAAACTACAGAAGCAATCAGTTGAGCTGCCTGAAGCCCCTGTAGCTGAGCTTCAAACCTGAAACCCAACTGCAGTCTTTTATATTTTTGGATTTTGTTAATTCATACAGTCAATTATACAGTTAATTAACGTCAAGAGGGAGGAACTTATATGTTTTCCTTCCCCCCCCATGAAAATTATCTGAAGCAAGAATTCCCAGCCTCCTCCACAGCACCTTATGATTAACACCATGCAGTGTTGTTTTATTTGGGCAATGTATTTAATACACACAATGCAAATGTATGGATAGGAGCTATATAAGCCACAATCTGAACTTCAGTCTTCTTAGGAAATGCAACAATATATATAAAGCAATTCTTACTACTAAAAGAATCCTTACTGTATAGGCAAATAAAGTAACCAACCTGCAAATTACATATCACATATCATTGCCATTTGAAAATAGAATGAAATTATTTTCAGTTTTATGCATCTTTAAAATAAGCTAGGTAGAAGAGCTTCAATCACAGTATTTCAAAGTATTAATGCTGTATTACTTACCATTGTGGTAATGATTGGCCACTGTACATGCATCAGAGTACTTACTAAATCTACTTAGAAAAATTAGGCAGTTAGTGTAATTTTTTACTACTTTTTTGGCATAAGCATAGCCCTAGCATAAACACAGCAGTAACTTTAGGATATTAGCTATGTCTAACCCTAAGCAAGTGCATTTTCCTTTCTTTTGTCTCTAAATGATTTGGCAGCAATATTAGTAACTCAGAAAAATCCTTAAACACTTATTATTCAAGTTTTAGTAAAACCTAAAAGAAATCAAGGTAAGTTAGACTGAATAGCACACCTCCGCACTACAATAAATGATCTCGCACTACTGCAGCTGCTTTATTCTGGTGCAATACCAACCAAATATCTCCAGGAACATGTTTTCTACATACCCATCTTCATAGTTCCACATAAAAATGTCACTGTCGATGGTCAGCCAAGCTCTGCTGATTTCTGGAAATACTCCCATCATACAATTGCACTGCATATCTGATGTACTGCTGATGTAAGGACTAAATACATTTTGGCTAACAAAGACAAAATAACCTTTGGACCATTTAAAAAAAAAATCACTATTTCTTTATATACAGTAGTACACAAACTATGTGTCATAAACATTTGAAGTTCTTCATACAGAAACTAATTCCACCAGCAGCTCTACACAAATGGACCTTGTTACCACTTGGACCCTTATGAAAGGAAAGTGAACAACATCAAGGTTCATTGCTGGGAGTCTGAAAGAAAGATTGGGGAAGAAGATTATAGAACAAAAAGGTTTGTTTGTAATATTATGGCTTACACAAACTAACACATTATTTTTCATAAGGATACGTCCAAACTGCTCCACTAGCTCTGGGGGAAGTGGGACTCTGCGGACTGAGCTGATCTCTGGAAGATTAGGTATTGACAGCAGACCTGGTCCTTGCAAAGGATAATCCATATCTGACATACCAGAAACAGTAGGGCTACCTGCAAGTAAGAACAACAAAAAAGATTAGACTTCTTAGAATGAATGAAAAATTTACAAAAAAAGGTTTATATTCACTTTCCCTATCTTTACTTGATTGTTTCCTAATCTGTGAAATCTAAATTATAAAAATCACAGAATCATTTAGGTTGGAAAATACCTTTAAGATCATCAAGTCCAACTGTTAAATTAGAATAATTGCATTTCCCATTTTACTTTAGATGAACAAGTCAGACCTTCAGATTATGCAGAAAAAATGCCTTGGCACTGCAGAGACTTTAAGCATATAAATATCACTACTCACAAGATATGTACGAAAAAAGGATTCTGTAGGAGTAGGACCATAAACAATAAATCTAAACCTCAAATCAGACATGAAGAAACAGATTTGCAAACAAACTCTTAAACTCATTTGGACCCCAATCTACTCTTCACCCCACTTTACTGTGATACTCTCTAGCTCTTTTTTCATTGTACGGGCAGACATTAAACATGCCACGTGAACAAGCCAGAAGTGTATTCCTTCACCTAGAAAAGCTCCCGGTATCAAGTTAAAGTACCTATACATACCCATTATTTTATTTTTTCTGATGTGTATCCATGATGCTGCTAGAGCAGTTACACTGTGGCCATAAACATCACATTGTATCATAATAGAAAATGGATACTTTTTGCTTGTGTCCTGACACCCACTAGATACATACTGATTGGGTCACCTACAGCTCTAGAGTGCCTCTCCACAGCCCACTTTGCTAGACACCAATGAAGTAGGAAGTGTTGTCTTGATGTTTTAAGGAGAACTGCACGTGACACACAGCTACAGACAAATGAAAGTCACTCAAAGAGGATTAAAAGCTTTTCAGGCTGCTTGTAACTTAGGGATGGTGCTGGGCATTTAGCGATCAGAGCATTCTGTAAGAGAGATCCCAATAGAGAGAACAGAAAATAACTACCGTTTTCCTCACCTTCTTAAGGAGGAGGGGCTGAGGAGCCAACCCAAGCCCGCTCCTCCCGCAGTGCTCCCCCATAGAGAGACCCCACATCCACGACT